GGGTTTTTAACTGAACTTCTTCACTGAAGGCTTGCCAGGGAATACAAACTACTGTCATCGACAGCACCGGTGTATATTGTAAAGTAGTAGTGTTGATGGGGAAACGGCAGTCGGGCTGTTTCCAGACTAGAGCATACCTGCCAATAAAGGAGGGCGAGGGTGTGTTGGTATTTGTTGGTCTAAGCATGGGACTGGGAATCAGGAATACACTTTAATTCCAAGTTTGATGTGAACTGGCTTTGTAGCCTCAGCTGATTTACTTGGCCCTTAATGCCAAAATTCCCATTTTCTTCCATGTCGTTGATATATCCAAGCGCTAAATGACTTGTTATACTATTAATCAGTAAAACCGATGCATGTCTTTTCTTCTACTGAAAGTTAGTATGAAACACTCTTTCTAAAGCATTGCTATATAGAAATTGCTGCGTGTAGTATTATACTCAGAAGAATGCTTTTCTACTTATGCTTAAACATGCCAAATATGTATGCTGAATACCTTAGTTATGCAGCCTGTTTGATTCTTGCTATCAACAAGAGTCACTGAAGGATCAGGATAAAGCCTAAGAAGATTTTATTAAAAGTTTTCAACGTGATCAGTTCCCCAGTGAGACTGAATTAGAGCCTAAGTGAGTGCCAGTGCCAGCGCAAGGAGGGGAGTGGAAGTGCACAGCTGGAGCTGAGCTGTCCTTTCCCCAGCGATCCACGCTGAGCTCAGCTAAATGCGATGCTGAAACCACTGCCTGACAAAACTTACGAATACGGAGGCATTTCACGTTGCTGACTGTTGCCTGTGAGGAGTCCATCCAACCACTTCTAATCTTATTTTGAAAAAATCTTGTAAAATTTGCTAGAGGTGAAATCTGTAGGGGCAGGCAGAAACAAATGTAAATAATTTTGAAACACCTTAGAGAGTCATTTTGATGGGACAGAAATTGCTACTTGGTTATGGTATAAAGCATCCTTTAAGAAAAATCAATTAGAAAATGTATAGCAATGTCATCACTTAAAATTCTGTACTTTTAATACATTTCATGATTTGAGGGTTCTCATAAACCTCCACCAACAATCGCTCTTTTTTTTTTTTCTTTTTTCCTTTCCTTCTTCCACCCCCAGAACATTTTCCCCACAGCAGGACCAGCTTCAAGGACATAAGTTGCCCTTGTTACCTGACACAAGAGTCACTGTAGAAGGATGGCCACTGTTGGTGCTTGGGCCCCAGGGAGCCCTCTGAGGGGAAGGAGGGTGGTGCGTGACCGGAGCAGGAGCACCAATACCACCAGGAAGCTGAGAGAGAAACTACTGAAGGTAATTCAGAAGCAGCTGTTTCCAGACGATCTGTAAATATCCAGGGATGCTGGTACCCAAGCCACCACACATCTCACACATAGATTTGCTCTTCCACTTCCTTCTTGGCTTTTCTATGGAATGGGGTGATCTGCCCTTAGGCAAGCATCTCACTGCCAGAAATATTTCAAGGAATTATTCTTCTCTAAATGCATATCCCACCCTCTCTAATTATGCATAATATTTCACTGAAAGCTTTCTCAAAAGGTAGGCACGCAGCATAAGATCTATTATGTCAACAGCCGGAAATACAGAATACACTTAAACTGTTCATTGACATTCTGGGCAATCCAAATTAAGCATCCCCAGTAAATGCTGTAATCAAAAGAACAAAAGCTGTAAAATGATTCAATGAATTTATAGTCCATGTAACCACTGGATGACAAACATTTCTGCCTTGTACAAAAAGTAGAAATGTTACAGTTTATGCAAGGGCTGGATCTGAAAAAATATTAACACATCATGGTGGCCTGCAGTAAGATCTTCAGCCTTCACGTGTAGCCACTAACTCTGTTTGTCAGTAGATTTCTCAGCAAGTTACCGGACACAATTTTACTTGGTTTCTTTTCCAGATACAATGTGGAGCTGTGTTTTTCACTTTAATATTTCCTTTTGTAAGTGGATACCCAAACCTTTAACAAATACTAATAGCAGTATATAGCCCTGTGTCAAGAGAGTGTATTGGTGTTCTTAACCTAACCCTGAAATGAGCCGGTTTGAAGATGAAGCCTAGTAAGCTCCTAGCAGTTCAAGCCACTGCTGCTCACCAGTTTAAGGGAGGAGGCAAATACATCAATCCTAATTTAATGGGAGAATTTTCAGGTAGACTGTAATTGAGTTGGAATTTGGCCAAAGCCTTGAGGTTAAAGAACCTACTCTTCTGAAATGTATTAGAGGCACTTTAATGAATGCAAACAATCGAGATCACAGTTCATCTCTTCTGCAAGGAATAGCAGAAAATGATCATTTCCCTATTTCCCTCCAGAAATACCATGCTGCCTGTAATCAGGCTGGGGCATTGAAAAAAATATGCCACCTTCTGAAACACCAGAACCGTTTTCTCATCAACAGAGATCTCAGTGTGTTGACCTGTAGGAGGAGTAGCTGGCTCATGTATTTTAGTAATATCCCTCACATCAATACTGAGAATTATCCAGTAACCATGAAAAGAAATCCTTAACTGAATTGAATTTACTTACATTGAATTCAGCTAAGTTGTACTTTTTTCCTCTTTTTGTCTCAAAAATCCTGCTGACTGGCGAAACAATTTCAAAAAACTTTATTAAGCTCTTCAGATAGACTGGACAAGAGGAAGGTCTCCAGGCCTGCTGCTTTCCATAGATAGAAATTTCCATATCAATCACTCTTTTGGATTTCTTATATAGATTTATTCCTAAATAGAGCTAGTGGTTGGAAAAATCAGCATAAAAATGAAGGAAAATAGATGCCTTACAGGTACTAGAATTGTTTGCCTTTAAAACTCTCCAGGTGAAAAGAATTGTCAGCATGCTGAAGCCTGAAATGTAAGTTACTGTATGCACAGAGGGGATTACATTTTGTTATTTTAAACCACCTTTAGTGCGTGATACTTTATCAGCTGAAATAGAAGCCCCTTTTAAAGCAACAGCCTCTAAAATACATAGGAAGGTATTTACTTCAGAGATTTAAAAAAATACACAAGTCAAACTTTATGTGAGTGCTTAAATCCTTCAATATGGAATTTGAAATGCTGATGCCTTGTGCTGCCTTGCACCAGGACCGCCCCAGAGCAGCGATGATCGGTATCTAGCTTAGTCACTTTCACTGACGAGAATGTGTAAAGACCAAATCCATTCACTTAGGTTTTGTAATGCTACCTGTTAAAGCTAAATTCTTGCTAAACTAGCAGAGGTAATGGGTTGTTTGTTTCTTCCTTAACTGTGCATTTACTTTTGTTTTTAACCTCATAGTGGGTGTGTAGTTCCTAGCACACAGGCATAGAAGGACCTGACATACCAAGTATGATTACGTACTCTGGAATTACTAAAAGCCTTAATGTTTTCACCTGTGTGTGGAATTGCTAAAATGGTCCCAGGTGAATCAGACTTAGACTAACCAGTACCCTGCTGCAGAGTATAGTGCCCCTGAGAGTGAACCCCAATTCTAAAATCTGCATTCAAATTTATATAATTAACTTTGGACTTTTAGTAAAGTGATTACTTCCTTTGTACAAGTATACTTTGAAACATAGTATGTGTTCTGCATTAACCGGATCAGATTTGGGGAGACAAAATCAACTATATTTAAAAACATATACAGTATGTAAACTGGGTAAGAAACTTAATTTTAGTGCCTTGCCTGAGATTCCCTGCATTCCCTTAATGCTTTCCTCTCCAGCCTCCATGCTTAGAAACAAATAGAGAGCAAAACCTGGGCGAGTGGTTAATTCCTTCAAGATGACATGGACTTGGTATCCAACTAAATAATATTCTTGCTTTTATATTTGATTTTTGGTTTGGATTATTCAAGGATATTCATCCTTCTCTCTTGGAATAATTTTGCTTTTGGAATAATTTCAGACAACAAACACAGTCTATGGTTTAACTTACTGTGACCCACTCTGGCTCCCAGAATAATTTCTCCTACCAATTTATTTCTCAATCGTTGGCTATGCTCTGCTGGTTTTTAACTCCTTTTGTGCCCCTCAGATTACGAATTGCTGCTGAGATATTTTTCTTGAGGACCTTTTATTTCTGATTTACTGTGCTTCTCTAAGTAAAGAAATAGCTCTCGCTGCTGTAAAGTAGTAGGAAACTGCTAATGCTTTTCGAGAGCAGAACCACACACAGGAGGCTCATATAATTTACTTTGTAATTGAATGGTACACTTCTCAGCATCCAGATTTTTAGCTGTCAGGATTTCTTTTTTAAGATGATATATCCTCCAGAGGCTGCAATGTACTCCTACTAAAGACAACTGGGGTGTATTTCCCTAGCTCATAACAATAAATTGCTCGAGCAGACTATTGCCAGCGAATCGCCCTTCCAGTTCTGTGTAATCCTCCGGTAACCTTGCACAAACTTCTCTCTGGCTGTAACAGAAACTTGGCACCTTGCTCCTGCCTGTCCTCAAGCTGGGCTGGTGCCTCCCGGAGCTGTACCCTGCGACGTTGCTGCGAGCTTGTTTTTGTCTTTGGACTGATTGGATCTTTCTTCTCAGGGCCAGGTTCTGCCTGTTTTATTCAGGCTGAGCCATCCCACTGTACTCTGTGAAACTATTCATGATGTGAGTGAGCTTGAGGAACTGTTCAGTGGGAGCTGGGCTGGCACCGTCTGGTCCCTGGAAGTGGGCAGAGAGCATGTGCAACAGAGAGGGAGAGCGAACAGGAATGCATCGGATAGAAGTAGACGTGGGAAGGAAACGAGTCTTTAATTCATTATCATGGAACAGCAAATAAGCTGGAACTAAAAAATACTTCAGAGATTTAACATGACATCTAAATTTTATTTTAGAGTTCATACTGCAGTTTCATTGCAAGGAAAAAATGAACCAACTGAGTAATTGAATTGAAGCTGATCATTATTCAGTTTTTCTTGGTGGTTTGATGGATGAACTGATAGTGAAGTTTAAAAATCTTGCTCATTTTAGCAAAAAAAAAGTCCCAGTTCAAATCCAGAGTGCTTGCTTGAGGACTGGATGTACAATGTCTTTGCTAGTGCTGCTGGAGATGAAGGTGAAAGTGGATATGGGCACTGGAGTGAGAATCATGATACTGTACACAACCTGAAAATGTAAAGGAATACACAACTGCTTCCCCGTATCTTCCTCTTTCTGTTTTTTTGAAATTTGGAGAATAGTGTATTCCATTGAAATCATGCATACTGCTGCATAGGTTTGTTTAAACTAAGGCAATTGACTGGAGCTTGGATGTAGTCAAGCACATGCCATATGGATAAATAAGAGGGTTGACACAGCTGTGCAATAGCTACATGGAGGTTTTGGAGCAGGCAAGCAGGAATGGCTTTGGGTAATTGCCCTTGCAGCAGATCCTGCTCTTAAAATGCCATCCCTCCCACGCGTCACCACCATCTTCCTTTCAGGACATTAGACACGACCCAGGTCTGCGACAGAGGAAGGTAAATCCTATTCCTCAGCGCTGGGCCCAGCCTTTGGTTGCCTGCGCTCTTTTCGCCTGAAGCTGAGGGGTAACGTCCCGCAGGGCGCGGGGTTGCTCTAGCTTGAATCCACCCGTGTGTTCCCCTTCTCCAGACACTCACCTGCCCCTCCTGCCAGGAGCATGCACGGGAGACTCCGCTAGAACACGTGGCCCTTCCTGGTCCCCGGGAACATCACGTTGGGCCACGCTGTCCTTATAAATAGTCCCTACTCATGGCAGTAGAAGTGCTCCTGAAAAATGAAGTGCTAATAAAGACCGACTTCCAGCGCTAGAGGAAGAACCACTTGTGTGGATCAGAGAGCTATGAGTCCCAGCCTTGATGAGGACATGCGCCTCAAAACAGTTCTCTAAATGAAAATTAATTCTTAGAATAACTTCAAGTTTTTAATGCTACTGTTCAAGTAAAAGGAATAATCACTTTCTGTAGCACCAGCTAAATAATCGAATGCATATCTTAGCAGAATATTATCAGCCCAAGGACAGTGGAAATCATAGAATCTACATCTCCACTTTTGCAATGACAAATTGTGCAGAGGAATGCTTTTCATATAAATGTCTGTGAGCTGCTTATATAAACTCTCTCATTACCTCAGCTGCCTTCGTCACCTGGATTTTGTCTCTACAAGATGTCTTTTTTCCCCTCACGTTCCTTGGTTGCATAATTATTTTATATAAGTATTTTATGTTACTCTTCCCTGGCTCTAAGAGATTACTTTTTCCTTAGCTATTAAATCAATAGGCCAGACTTAAGGTTAAAACTTAAGGCTAAACTTAAAATGTTTTATTTTAAAAAAATTTAGGTTCTGGGGGTCTTCACTGTAAATTGAAACATAAATAAAGCCTTTTAAATTTCGATAAAATTGATCTTTTTTTGTTTGCTTGTTTTTATAGATGATAAATGTTGAAGTCTGAAAATGGGGACACAGACAAGGAGACTGAGAAATGAATGAACAAAGTCCTGTTAGTAAGAGTCAACCTGAATGCTGTAAGTATGGAAAAAAAAAAAATCACTCAAATATGAAGTTCTGCATCAAAATACAATATTCTGTCTTAACACTATAGTTTGTGATGCCACCCCAGAAAGTCTGATTTGGGGAAGATGTCCTCAGCACACAGAGGTGAATGACTGATCCATTCCTGCCAAAAGTGTCTCTTGCCAATTACAGGTCATTTGTGCTGCCCAGTTGCTTCATGAGCTATATCATGCATAAAAAATGGGTACTCAACAGCACTGGTATCATAATTTCATAATCTTTTCATTATGTAGGTATTTCTCTTTTTCTAATTTATTTTGTGTGCGTTGCAAACATTTATTATGGAAAGAAAGCATATTAATTTATGTTTTTAAATCAGCCCCTTCTATCCCATACAACAGTGGGCCCTCTCCCATCTCTTCCCTTCCCAGCTCCTGACCACAGACATGCCGTGCTGTTGCGGCTGGGAGACCTTTCTCCTGTAACTAAACGTATTTTTTCTAACCTTGACAAAATACATGACAGCGATTCCCAGTACCTCCCCCTGGGAAGGTGCTTCCTGCGGGCTCCTGCGCCCCGGGGGCGGGTCCGTGTTATTTCCCCTCGCTCGGTCTGCGTGGAGCGGCAGTGCCCGTGGGATCACATCCTGGCCGGCCTCGCGCGGCTGCGGCTGCTCTGGACCTTTGGGGGGGGGGGCGATTCTGGAAAACAGGAAAAGCTGACCACCACAAGAGGCTGAGAACAGGCGTAGGCCAGTTGATTACTGTGGTTTTTGACTTGAGGATAATCACAGAATCATAGAATACCAGGTTGGAAGGGACCTCAAGGATCATCTGGTACAACTTGTCAAAAAACTATATAACTACGTGTTTCCTATCATGTGCTAGCATAATGAATTTATTCCTAGTGATGGGTCATTTCTCCTTTATGACGTCCATAGATTACAAGATGAAAAGCCTGGGGAGTAACAAGACCCTGCTACCTTTTGCCTTTCTTCTCTTTCCACTCTTGTTCCTGTTTCTCCCCCTCTTTGGCTTGGTGTTCGTCCCTCTGCATCTCCTTCACCGCAGCAGCCACCACTTCCCAGCTGACCCCTTCTTTGTGTCACTAAAGTGACCATCGTGCAACTACAGATATTAAAATTCACCCATTAACACTGCAGTGAGGTGGGGTCCAAGGAGCTCCTGCCCCCCCGTCTTGCTGTGCCACCCTGCCAGCAGATTCGGGAAGGCGACACCACACTGGTTTATCCTGGTTTTCTTCCCAACCCTGACAGCTGGTTATAACTGGTTGAGCGATGGCTGGAGTTCAACACAATTCAGATATCTCAGACAGTCTATATAAACATCGGTCCTACTTAGAGGTCCTGTTGGAAGCAGTGTCTGTTGGGCACTTAGTGAATTACAGGCTTTAGAAACTACCTGGCAACGCTGGAGACCGTGAACCAGACGCAAAACTTCCACTAATGCAACCTTTAACGTCTTAAGTAGGTACTTGGCTGCCAACCGGTTTTAGGCACGCTGTAAAGGGACTTTCTAAAAAAATCTGACTCTGGACCAGCATCCCTGTTTGTTTCATCTCGATTTGGAGTGGTTAAATAGGAATTTGCAAAGGAAATGAATAAGGGGACCAGCTTCTTTCATTTAAAAGGCTTGTCTAAGTAGAACCAAGCGACAAAGGAATTCAGTGTAAGGTTTGCAATTTTTGTCGCTCTTGTCTAACCAGATTTACATCGTCAGAAACAAAACAAACAAACAAACCCCCCAAACCAACATGAGAGAGCATGAGCATTTTAGAGCGTGTGCATTACAAGTGATAGAGAATATGCATTTATGATTCAAAATTTTAAACAGCTGAGAAATAAATATGCAAAGTAGGTTGTTCTGTTTGCAGATGGTAATCCTGCCACACTGATTTTGCTCAGCTGTCTGATTTTTCAGTGTCTGCATTCCTGGTTCCTGGGGTTCCTGATTAAGAATTAAAATATGAGTCATGGTGCATGGTTACCTTCTGCACATCTGAAAGGGTAACTCAGTGACTGAAAACAGATTATTAGAGGCTGATCTCGCCCTGCTGAATTCAGTGCAATGTCAGGGCACTGGGAAAAAAAAAAAAAAAAAATCCCTTCCCCACTCTGCCCTTCATTTTTACAGCTGTAGGATAAAGATTCCTGCCAGCTCCTGTAGCTCGGCTTGTAGTATATCGGCTGCCTGGGCCAGCTCTCCCGGGGGTCTGCGGGCGGGGATGGCCGGCGGGCAGCACGCTGCTCGGCAAGGTGAGGCGCATCCCTTCCCCTCCCTCTCCTGAGGATGACTCAGTTCGTTATTAAAGATTTCCAGCTTCCAGCTAAAAATGGCATCAGAAGCGGTGCCCTGGAGGGAAGAGGGAGAGACGTGAGAAATGGGTTCTGTTCCCGTCTTGGCTTCCCAGCACACACACATGTGCACGCACACGAGCAGAGCTGATGTGCAGCTCGTCTGGGAAAAGTTTATTTTGCAATAAGAGGGGTTAGTATTCTGCTAAAGGCTTTTGCAAAGACTGGATCCAATTTTCGGAGCCTGTTGCCAATATTTGTGAGTCATTTCCTTGGAATTCTACCTTTAGTGTTTATTTCCCTTAGAAGGAAACTTGTAAAAGAATAATAATAGCTCTCATTCTTCGTGGAAAGTAGCACACAGCAAAGTGGGAGACAACTCGCTCTTTGTTCCAAAACACTTTTTTGTTTGTTTTGTTTACTTTCTTCAGCAGACAAAAAGTGAAGAAGGCAATATAATTAACCTCATAAACCATCTAATTTACAGTGCCAGTGACATGCATGTGCTGCTGCACCGGAGTGAAAGTTAAGTGGGGAAGCGGTTTTAATTGGTACCTCTTTTACAGAACAAGTCACGAGAACTGCCTTGTGATTTGGGAAGTCTCCGAATGCAACAGAAGGGCTTTGCTTTTTCGCAGCCCTGCCTGACTGCTGGGACCCCTTTTCCTCTCTGACTTAAGTCCCAACAGCAACATCTAGCACCTATTCAGTGTCAAAACCCGCTACAAAGGTTAACTAATCAGAAATGCTGTCAGTTATAGTTTGCAGCCATTAGAAGCACCTTTTACCCTCAGGATACTGAAGTGTTTTGCAAACTAAACTCCCACTGAGCTAAGTGGATCCCGGACAGAGCTTTATATGTCTAGCAGGGCCACGCAGCCACCAGCGGGGTGGAGGCAGAGAGCATAGGAGACATTTTGGCTCAGAACACTGGAAAAAATATTTATGCTTACTGAAATAAATACCATGGGGCTTTATTGTTCTCCCAGAGCAGGCAGGAGAAACAGCCTGCAGGAGATGGCTGCAGTAAACTTGATGTCACCTTTTCTCATATCTGCCAGATCCCTGTAGCAAATAAAAAAAAAAAAAAGAAAAGAAAAGGCAAAGAAAATTTGCTTGTATTTTCATATATTTGCATAATTCTGGGGCAAACTATAGCTGTTAGAACCACCATTTAATTCATTGCATATAGGCTACCAAGGGTACCGATAGGTGACATATACCTACAAAGAAATAAAAGAGGAAACCTCTTTTCTGTTAGTATAGAAACCTCCTCTAGTTCTGCTTCATAGAAACCAGAATCAGGAAAAAGCACAGCTTTTAAGAATTCAAAAGAACATTTTATTTTTTTTTTTCTCTGAAAAAATGCTTGCTAGAAAAATCAGGGGACTCTGACAAACTGGGACAGAGTAACTCCAAAAAGTCTTTCTGGGAAGAATTGAAGTGAAAATTATGAAAAGAAAAAAAAAAAAAATAGCATGTGGGAATTAGGAAAGTTAAAGAAATATTTGCTTGGAATTTTGTCTTGAGAAAGAAACACTCGAGCATCTGGAGTTATATAATCTAAATTAGGACAGAAGTTACGTGAAGGTACCTTTGAAACACTTTCATGGAAGGGCTGTATCTTGACATAGAAATCAACTTCTGATTTCAAGTTAATTCCTTTTCCACCAAACAGTAAGTCCAGCTCTAGAAAAAGAAGGGGAAAAAAAAAAGAAAGCAAAAAGGAAAAAACAATGGATTCCTTGAAATTCCCTGAAGCGAGGGCCAAGAAATACAGGTAAAAACACTAGACTTGGCACATCTATAATTTATCTATACCTCCGAAGGATGAAGAGCTGAATTGACCCCCTTGGCACACAGACCTGTTGTTCTACCAGTCCAGTTATTTCAGTCAGCCTTAACCCCTTCATTTTGCCCTTGTAGCATGCTTATGTTAGATGGTGTTACATGTGTTTCTGACATGAGGTGCAGCTGAAGGAAGAGAAAACGGTCCTTGCCCGGGGCCTGTGTTGCCTCGCTGCCGCCTATCCTCATTCCCCTCTTCCCTTCACCTCCTCCCTGCAATCTCCAGCTTGTGGCTCAGCACCTCCCTCACTGCAGACCAGGGACCACTCTGCACAGATGCGATGAGATCCTGCAGTTCTTCTCATCTATTTTATATCACCAAGAGAAGGAGATCCCTCTGTCTGCTCCCAACCCATAGCCTGTCTCTTGGAAGTCCAATTTTCAGTTTAAATCCAGCATGGCCAATTCTAGATGCTTTTCCACTTCTTGCAGCCTCGCTTCTTGCCTTGCCTCCAGAGCCCCGAGCGCAGGGATCATCTTTGATGCTTTGCTTTCATTTACTGTGATTGGGCTGCCCCAGTGACCTGCAATTCAGTGCCCCCAGCGTTTCCACTGCTTCATTCATAACATTACTACAACTCTGTGCATCTCTATCCAGACAATAAACAATTTAATCATGGCCCTCGTTATCTCCCATCTCTGTAACTTCCTCCTCCTTGAACTTGTGACACATCAGCCAATTTGATTTACTTAAACACAAGCTCCCAACATCCTCTTTCCTGTCCGCTGCTGTGGTCAGAGCCAATCCACCTCCTGCCTCTCCTCCTTATTTGCCAACACCTAGTCTTTTATTTTCACGTGCTAGGTTGTCACAGCTCCGTCTTAGCTGTCGTCGCTCCACCGTTGTCTCTACTGTATAGCTTTGCTCTCTTCGCCAGTGATGCTTGTGCATTTACCTGCTGCTCCCAGGGGAGCCTTTATGCCCTCTTCCGTGGTGCTCGTGCCCACTGGATGCCATGCCTCGCTCAGCTGAGTGGGCAACACCAAACCTTGTTGTGGCAACCATAAAGAGTAGAGAGTTTACAATTACATTAGCCTGGAATTGTTTACATGTGCTATCACTGGGTTTTGTTAGTTTTAATGTATGTACACCGGTCTGGGTACACAACTGTGCCTTTCCCCTTCCTCTCCCTGGCTGTCACTTGCTTTCTTAAGACTGTGGGTCGGCACAGGCTGCGTGCGGTGCTCGGGCAGTGGGATTTCTGATTGTTTCTGCAGTGTAAATTTTCTGTAACGCCACAAAGGTAACTGCTACCAAAATGACGGCAGTTTTGTTTCCTAAGCCCTGAAGTCCAGATGTTAACAGTGGTCTAGTACAGTTAAGGAACTCTATTCTCTCTTCATGTTGTCACGCGGTGGAAACGCTCCAGAATATATGATAAAGACTGAAATTGCTGCAGTGCTTGAGTTAAGAAACAGGAGTTAAGAATGGAATAGCCATCCTAAGTCTATTCCCTTGTCTTTACTGATCTTGGTGAGACCTGCAGCATTATTGTCACAGGCATTTTATATTTAAGTTTGGGGTTTTAGAGGCATTCTGGAACTGTATAAAGAGCCCTTTTCACTGACATCGCATCAGGCTTGTTATAATGTGAATGGCATCATTACAGTTCTCTCATTAACATCATAATGGCTCTGGAGGAATAGTGAGTGAAAACCCCAGCAAATGGAGTAGTGTAGCAATGTATAGTAGTCTTACTGTGTAAAACTGCATACGGAAAAAGTTTGACATTTTAACCTTCAGGCTGCTGTAGATGCCTCCGGGTGTCCTCACACTGCATGCATTTGGCTGACAAAATGGAAAAATTGTGGTAGCCTAAGGATGGAGGGCTGGGTTCAATAAAAAACTGTGCCTGGCTTCCATGCCACTGAAGCCCACACAAGGCTCCCAAATGGATTTTTCAAAATTGAATCCAGCCCCAAGTGTCAACCTTTTGCTGTAATTTTGTATAGTAAATGTATTGTATGCTCAAATGTACATCTTTCATCCTTTATTTCCAGTGGTGTTAATGGAAATGTAACAATGCGTGTGCTGTTCTGCAAAGTCTCATTGAAACGAATGGGATTTTGGATGAAATCCCTCCATTGCATACGATAGTGTAATATAAATGAGTTGGGCTTACGGCTGGAGGACGATGAGATCTGGTTCTATTTCTGGCTCTGACACTGGTTTGCTGTGTGACTTCTGGCAAGATACTCCAGAGTGGATTTTGCCACCCTTAATGGGGAAAAACAGTAGGCTGGCTCTTCAGGAGCACTGCCAGGGGTTCTGTTCGTGGAGCCAGGTCCAGTAGCACTTTTTCAGTAATTACCATCTCATACTTCAGGCTTTCAGTTTTGCCATCTCCAACTTTACCTTTGAGGAGGCTGACGGTTCCCACGTACTGAGTACTCGCAGCTCCCTTCCCACTCGTTTGTAGCAGCTGGAAATCAGTGCTTCTGAAAATCAAATGGCATGCCCAGAGTCACAAGCCCTTTTAAAATCCTGGTTGTCAGCTTCTGTGTGCTGAAGCAATTCCTTTGCTACAAAATGGGGCTTATTTTGCAGCTGCGTGCCACCTATGCAGCTTTGTAATGCATGCTGAGACCTACAAGCTTGGTTTGTGGCTTTGGCTTTCTGATTGGGTTTGGGTTTTTTTTTCCCCTAGGTAAGATCTGTTGTTTATGCCTTGTTTTTATACAGCTTGGAAACATGGAGAATGAGCATGGACAGTAGCTGTTTATAGAAGTTAACTGGCTTGCCTCTATTAATTTTGCATGTTGTAAATAGCAGAAACAGTTCATTTACTTTACTGGCTTTCCAGAGAACTCAGTTGTTCAAGATAAATCAGCAGCACTGTGCAGAAGGCATCCTTTCCTTTCCTTTCCTTTCCTTTCCTTTCCTTTCCTTTCCTTTCCTTTCCTTTCCTTTCCTTTCCTTTCCTTTCCTTTCCTTTCCTTTCCTTTCCTTTCCTTTCCTTTCCCTTTCCTTTCCCTTTCCTTTCCCTTTCCTTTCCCTTTCCTTTCCCTTTCCTTTCCCTTTCCTTTCCCTTTCCTTTCCCTTTCCTTTCCCTTTCCTTTCCCTTTCCTTTCCCTTTCCTTTCCCTTTCCTTTCCCTTTCCTTTCCCTTTCCTTTCCCTTTCCTTGTCCTTTCCTTCTTTCCTTTTCCTTCCTTCCTTCCTTCCTTCCTTCCTTCCTTCCTTCCTTCCTTCCTTCCTTCCTTCCTTCCTTCCTTCCTTCCTTCCTTCCTTCCTTCCTTCCTTCCTTCCTTCCTTCCTTCCTTCCTTCCTTCCTTCCTTCCTTCCTTCCTTCCTTCCTTCCTTCCTTCCTTTCCCTCCTTTCCTTCCTTTCCTTCCTTTCCTTCCTTTCCTTCCTTCCCTTTTCTGCTTAAGTATAGAAAGACCTATTTGTGATGAAATATGGTAAAAAAAAAAATATGCACAGTTGAAATCTCCGATTTTTATAAAAATCTCCACAAAGAAATGCTGAATTCATTAAGAGCAAAGAAATCCTGACTTTCCTGAAGCAGCAGCAAGCTTCTTCCAACCCTTATTCTCTAAGGACAAACACTGAGTGTTGACATTATGCCAACTCGAGAAGATTGATGTCTCTCTGTGAGTGATTCCTCAGTGCAGATTAATGAGAAGACTCCATGGGTGCTTTCTAATGATGGCGTAATCTTTTCAGCCACAAAATATATGACTTTTTAGCTGGTTCTTGGGCCACTTTTTGGCCCTGCTCTTAGATCAGCAGACTGACCCACTTGTTCTGACCAGTCTTTCCATGTGCCAGTACTCAGCTGGTAACAGAAGGTGTGGGGAATAAATAATATATATTGTCTTTGTGAGGGATAGCTTCCAGTGGGCCAATCTAGTGCCTTGCCGTTCCCCATGCCATTTCTTTGCCCAGGAAAAGCAAGATGGCATTAATGGGCTACTGCAAGAAAAGGACCGATGCCGTGCGTGATCAGTAGATGGAATCTAAGGGGTTTAGACACCCTTTGGGGCGACTGCAGTGAGATCTGGTGGCCTTTGCGAGGGCAAACTACTGGGGGATTTCCCCCTCACCTCCCATTTTTTTGCCCTGTTGAGGAGTGCAGGGCAGAGCCACGCACGCACGCATCTGAGGAGCAGAGGGTTAGCGCGCGCTGGGAGCCCGTTTCTTACTGAAGTAGCAGCCTTGTGCATTCTTCCAGGATTTAAGAAAACAACTGGCAGATGTGAATGATTTATTTTTCCTCCCTCTTCTGCTGCGGTTTATTTTTTCCTCTTGTTAGAGAGCGCTCGGCTGCTAACACAAACAATTGCTGAAATTCCACCTGCCCACCTGCGGCCCCTCCTTCCCGCCGCTCGCTCGGGCCCTCATCTTCCTCCGGGAGGGCTGCACCGAGGGGAAACTGCATCCCGCTTTCTTAGAGGGAGGAGGAGGAGGAGGAGGAGGAGGAGGAAGGAGAAGGAGGGGCCGGGCCGCGTCTGGGCGCATTGTTCCGCGCTCCTCTGCCAAGAAGTAGGTGACTATGAACTCATCCCTTGCCCCTCGCAGAAAGTTTGCTCCCTCTCCTCCCCTCGCCCCCCCCCTCCCCCCCGCCTGCTGTCGCGGCAGGAGGCAGCTCACAGCCTGGCGCTGGCCCCGGAGTCCCCGCTCCTGCTTAATATTCCGCCTGCTCCGCCGATGTTGTGCTTGGCTCCGGTGGGACTGCAACTCACGGCTTGAAACCGGAGCCAATTTTCTGTCTTAGTCTCGCAGTGTTTTGACTGGAGGCAGATCCAGTTCAGTCCGATCGGGGCTAGTGGAAACAACTACCCAAGTCTCTGCTGTCTGTTTCGTTTGGGAGGGAAGAAAGAAGAAAGAAACGCGATCCCCAACTGCTGGGCGCGCTCGCTCGCTCTCACACACACGCACACGCACCCCCCGCTGCACACACACACACGCACCGCAGGCACACGCACACGCACAGACAGACAGACAGACTCGCACGCCCGTCGGTGCCGAGCGCGCCGTGCCAGCACCGCCGGGAGAGAATGGGAAGCGAGTGAACGGATCCGTGCCGGTGTGTCAGCGCCGCCGGGGCGGCGGGAGCGGGGTTTGGGGAAGAGGGGGGGATGGTGGCGGTGGTGTGGGGGGCGCGGATAAACTCCCAGTGCCGGGGACCCCGCGCCCTTTGTGGGAAAGAGCTCCGGTCTCTTTCCTGCCGTAAGAAAAGGGAGCGGGGGGGGGGAATCATGTGAGCTACAGATGCGTGTGTTTTTTTCTGGATGTGCAACTGGAGGTCCGAGCGCCCGCAGAGGGAAAGGGGGGGGGGGGGGTGCGGTCGCCGCGGGGCGTGGGTGTGAGGTGAGAGGGCGGCCGGGCGCTCACCGCGCTGCTGCTTCGGTTCCAGGCGCCGGCGCCCGCGATGACCCTGGTGCTGCCCATGCAGCGGCTGGGCCGCCCCATCGCCGCCGAGGGAGCCGCCGACCTCGCCGCCTACCGCGCCCTCTGGGAGCCGCCCGGCTGCGGCCGCCCCGGCCCCGGCCTCGCCGGTCCCGCCCCGGCCCCGGCCCCCGGGGCCCCCGCCGCAGGTAGGCACCGCGCCCAGCCGCCGCGGGGACACCCGGGGTGGAGGCGGGGGGGACACGGACACGCACACGGAGGTTTGCCCGCGGAGGGGGGGGCGGGCTGAAGGCGGGGGGGCTCCCCCACGGGCCGCAGGTGCGCGGCGGGGGGCGGGGGGGGGGGGGGGGGCGCTGGGCAGGGCGGCTGCCCGCCGGCTCGGGCGAAAGTTTTGGCGAAGCCGAGCGCGGTGGGGAGGCTGCCCGCCCGCTCCCACAGCCCCCGCGGCCAGGCGAGGGCTCGTTCCCGCTGGCTGGCGAGGGCTGGGGGGAAGATGCGGTGGAGTTCTCCTGTAGCGCGAAGGGAAATGAGAAGTATTTTGTTTGGAGAACCTCCGGCAAACCGCATGTCATTTGTCATATCTGATTTATTACCCGCAGGATCGCATTACAGGGGAATTTCAAATCCTGTAACAACATCCAAGATCACATACTTTAAAAGGAAATATGTGGAAGAAGAGGATTTTCATCCACCACTCAGCAGCTGTACACATAAAGTATGTTTTCTAATAGTCATTATTTTTACTCCGAGTTTCAGATGCTTAGTAACACTCAATTGACCCATTTCCAGAAGGCTGAAATACTCCGCTGAAATTAGGAGAATGATCCAGCTGCTTGCTCAGAAACAAATAGTTGTCACTTGTTCATATTTATTGTTTCATTGTCATCGAATTGCTTAGGAAGCAAAGCAGTTTCTTCATTTGTAACAGCTGTAAAGGGAAACACTGAGAATAACTTTTTTTCAGATTATTTTGTTCTTCGTTAGTCTGCATCACACTTACAGAAGCAGCTCTGTAACAGCATTTGAACGGCAGCAAGGGAGAACATAAATAAAAAGGGCCTACGATCCCCCACTCATTCAAAACTTTCCAGGGGAGAAAATAGTAATAGGTTCCATGTACCCCAAATGGGTTACAGATCCTCCAGAAAAACAGAACAACTTGGAAAGAGAGTACAAGCTCCTTCAATATTTAATCCTGTTTATTAAAAAGCTAATAACTCCAAAAGAACAGATTAGTAAAAGAAAGAATATTTTTTTGAATGAATGCTGTCAGGGGAGGGATTAGGGCAAACATTTCCCAGGCCAGCGAATACATAAACTGAAATCTAACTTTTTTTATGAGAGATTTTATGCTCTCGTTCATTAAGGGCTCAGTCCTGTAAGGAACTGAACGCCTGGAGCGATGCGTTTAAGGATAGCGCGAGCCTTGAGACCCCATCCTTACCTTGCTGGATCATACCTGGCCCATGGCAGTCCAGTGCTACCCATGCCCTACTGGCGACAGAGGGGGCAAGATATAATCTGATCAACCCCCAGTTCATGGGAAGCAGCAGTACCACGAGAGCCCCAGAGACAGAAAGCTAAACCAGATCAAGGTGCAGAGGGAGTTTATGCGTTTTCTTTACCTGCGTTGCAGAGGCAGCTGCCTGAGACGCGAGGAGAAGCGAGTGCCTGGTCCCTACGGCAGGCACTGGTTGGGGGGGAGCTCTGCCTAGTGGGGACCCCGCTTCCCTGGAGGGATTTCCACAGAGGAGAAGCGACCAGTAAGGCCGGGCTCGCTTCCCAATGACCTTAGAGTAGCCGAAGGAATTTTCAGATACAAATAGTTTTGGCTGGAAATAAGTACTTGACCAGGAAGGAGGAAAACTGCCCTGCTGGTAATTCCAGAAGGTGTCCAGTCTGCTGCCAGAGCAATGAATAAATAGCACTGAGGGTGTTGAAAAATGTGCTCTGGCTAGCGAGTGAGAGTCTCCCCCATGTCACATCACTCTCTGATTTCAGCCAGTTTTTCTCTTGCCTAGATTGTCAGATTTTTGTATTGGTGATTATTTTCCTCGCAGAGAGGAGGAATCGTTACTTTCCCCTTTCTAACAGCATAAACCCCAGTTGTAGATAGACCTGACCTAGACATTGTTTTGTGCTGTTGTAGAGGTGTAACTTGTCAGAAACTCTGGGTCACCAGTTTCTTCTGGTCAGCACAAATGGGTTTTCTACTTTGCAACACTGAAGTCTGGGGAATGGAGGATGCCCAGCACATTTCTTTGAATTTCTCAACTCCTCTGCCCAGTAAAGAAAGAGTTGTGTTCTGAGATCCCTTGTCCCATAAAGGGTGTGACGGTAGGGCCCAGGGCGCCTCTCCAGAGGGCTGTTGGCAAACATCCGTAGTAGAAAGCCTTGGACAACTTGTTCCTACTGGTGACCCTCCAGGATGCATCTCCAGGAGGATCACAGTTCAAGGCTTACTGGTTTGCTCCAGGCTTTTATGGCTTCACTGACTATTGCTGCAGCAGGTATAAAGGATGCAAATTAACCTATAGGCTTAACATGATTTAAAATGAGTCATTTATTATAGAAAATTACTCTCTCTAACAAAGAAGAGCTTCAGCTGTGAACTCACATGAAGACACAGCCCATTTTTCTTTTTACGAGGCACTGTGCTGCTTCTAAGCCCTGCAGACAGGACCAGGCTGTGGAAAGAGCGAGAGGGCTGAGGAGAGCTGAATGGATGTGAAAAGCAGCTGTGCTTTAAGCTCTTTCAGTCCTCATAGCTACGACTTCCACTCTGCAAAAATGCTGTAACCATGTGGGAAAGGGAAGAATGATCAAGCCACAGATGGGGGGGATTTAGAGCAATCTCTCTTTGTGCTGTGCTGCTCTCCTCCTACGCAAACCAAATTCTTACTAAAAATGAAAATTAGTTAATAGTGCTTACAGTAGCATGCGTTGCCCCCTCTCTTATTTTGATTCCCAGGGTAGCGATTACAGTGCAGAATCCAGGGCCTCCTGGGGGCAGTAACCTGCTCGTTGCTGCCAGTGCTGAGAAAGGGAGTCCTGGAAGGACCATGGAAGGGAGAACAAATCTGTGGGCGTCAAGCCAGGATTTCTGCAAATCCCTATCCTCTCCTCGTTTCCTGACCTTGTCCCTGCCTATCTGCGTTCCCACCGGTCCCGTAGAGCGCAGGGTGTAGGACGCAGGCCAACAGCTGCTCTCCAGATGCTGGGATGCTTGGGGATGGGTTTCTCCCTGCCTCCTTCCCTCCACGCACTTCTGTACATGAGAGCAGCGTAAGGGAGCTTGGCAAATGGAGACCTCCTCACTGGAGGGCCTCTTCCACTGGCAGCAGATGAAATGCTCTGACACTTGCCGCATGAGGTGGGGGCTGCTGGCTGCGTCTTGCAAACCTCGAGGCTGCAGGAGGGGACCTTCGCTTGGCTTCTGAGCTTCGTAGAAGCCCCCACAGGCAATGAGGGCATTAGGTCCGTTTATATCAAAAAGCCCCCAGCCATCACTGGAGCAAAACAGCCTGACGATTTTATGTTCTAGCCCCAAACGTGAATAAAGAGCCAGATGTGTGTATCTGTATTTCACTCTTCCATCCTGGATTCGTGCCCTGCGATTGCCTCTGTGGTGTAACGCTCAGCTGTTTACCTCCTAAACCCGGGTGAATGCTGTGGCCAAGAAAAAAGCAGGTCCCTGCCCTGGCTACATGGGTGTGCAAAATGAAAAGCCAGTTTTAGGCGCCTCAGAATGAGAAAGGTAGTGGCACAGGGGGAGTACTTTGCTTCATATTCTTTCTCCCTGCCTGGAACAAAACTGGTTGCCTTCAGTTCCTTAGTTTCTGTCTTTTGCACTTTCAGACAATCTCCGTGTTTGAGGAGCGGGCCCATATTCTCTACATGTCTTTGGAAAAGCTGAAATTCATTGATGATCCTGAAGTCTACCTGCGGAGATCCGTCCTCATCAACAACCTAATGAAGAGAATCCACGGAGAAATCATCATGCAGAACAACTGGTGCTTCTCTGCCTGCTCCTTCAGCGGCACCTCGCCACAGGAGTGGTTTGTGCCTCAGGACTGTCCGTACAGAAAACGCCTTCGGATGGCAAAGGAGGAGTACGAGAAGCTCCACACGTGCTGCTTCTATCAAGAGTGTGGCAGTCACTATTTAAATCTACCCTACTCTGTTAATGCTAGTACAGAAAATACTTCTTCCTCTTCCTCCTCCACTTCTTCCTCCTCCTCACCCTCTTCTTCCTCCTCCCCCTCCATTTCTTTGCCAAGCTGTTCCCAGCAGGTGGATTATGACATTGGCAGTGCCCCTTCTTACAGAAGTGATGACCAGATACCTGCTAATGAAATATTCATCACTAATGCCAGGTCTCACAGTAATCAGGAAAAGGCAAAATTTAATGACGAGAAAGGAGATAACGAACCTGAGCGAGAGAGTGTCGCCCTAAACTGTGAACCTGTAAGAGGCACCCATGCTCTCGAATGTAAAGGCAAATTTTATGACTATTCTGAGACTGGATGTAATGACAAGAGCAACATAAGTGAATCTTGGAAAAAATCCTTAAGGAAAAAAGAATCTTTACCAAGTAATAAAATGTGCTGCAGCAAAGGAAGTAAAATATGAGGCATCTTTCTTGCTCTGTCAAAGCATGCGCAGCATGTTCGTTTGTCTATCAAATTTTTATTTTGAATGGATTTTTTATAGTTTTCTACAAATGATACAATCATGCCACAAACATTACATGTAGTTCTAAATGACTGGAGAGCAGATTGCATAAAGCGTCTCTATGATCTGCATCAGCGGGCTATTTATAAATATGGAGACTTCATAAAGGACGCCGTTGCGTTACTGCTTAGCACTGTAGTCTGTACAGCTATGGTGTAGCTTTCGTTACTGAAAATACCAATCAGCCAGATGGGGAAAACATATTGTTTTATATGTCCCCGCCCCCAAGAAGTCTGACATTAATTAAGAAGAACCTCCATTATGTTTACCAAGGAATCAGAAGTCTGGTAAACAAATTGATGCTACCAGCAAGGGCAATGTGCTCCTTGTAACTCAGTATTTGTTCTGACAAAGGACCATCTTCATGGACTGGGAATAAACCATTCTTACGTTTTGTACTGATACTCTTGAATTCCTGGATTCAACATCTTGTTCAACTGACAAAATAGGACATAGCATAAAGAAATAACCTGTTTATGGGATCTTAATCAGAAACACAACATGCAGCTCAAGTACTTGCATGTTTTCACCTCAGCTGTAATAACTAATGAGGCTTGGTGTTATACAGGGCAGGTTTTTTTTTGGTGCCTTACTTTTTGTCTTAATTTTTGCCAGCGTGAAAATTAAGTATAAATCAGTGATACAGCAGGGATTTAACCTAAACAGAGGGTAAAAAAAAACCCCAAACCCACAGGGTGGATCAATACTATTAGAAACCTTTAACCTTTGAAGTACTGAGTTCAACTTCCTATTCAAACATCTCTGTTCTTCCTTTTTGATGCTCAATTGCTTTTTGATTTGCCATCCCTAGGAAGGGATTTAAGAAACAATAGAGAGATGTCTCTTGTAAACAAGCATTCGATGCTTGAGTGTTTCTATGGCAACTGTCTGTTGCTGGGGCTGTTTTTTTTCTTCTTCGTATAATGAAGTTCATGAACCAGTGGCATGTTTTATACTTTATTCTGTTTCGCATAATTTCTCTCTTTTAGATTGCAAAAGCATGCGGGAGTTTTCTATGACTTTTGCCATTGATTTTAAAAAGACAAGAAAAGAAAGCAAAAAGCACAATGTTAATCAATAATGTGGCGATAAACATGATTTTATCTGAATGAATGTAAGGGGTTTAATTTTAAAAAAGAACATTTTGGAGAAATGAGTTGAGATTTCAGTGGCTAAGGACAACATTTAGTCATGCCTAGATAGACCGTTTGCAAAAGTGTGCTGTTTAAAATGCCCAGAAGACACTAGTCAGGGTTGGACTGAGAGTATTTTGAGGCTTGGATCCACCAAATTAATTAGTTCCCACAGTCCCCATAACAACTGGCAGGATGTGCTAGGCAAAATAGCCACATCCAAGCCACGGCTGACTCATAATAGCTGCCTGTTCCCACAGCATCATGCACTCGAGCGACATCTTCTCCGCTTGGTTCTTGTCCAAAGGGTGAGAATCACCTCTGTGCTGGGGCAGCGGCCAGCTCGGCGCAGGGCATGAGGGTCCCTGGGGGGACACACACCGCCCCAGGCTGCCCCCGGCTTGGCGCTGGAGTCAACCAGGTCTCTGGGTCAGAGACCTCCTGTTCCTGTTTCACGGGTTCAGCCAGAGTCCTCCGGGGCCGTGGTTATTTTGGGTAGCGTGTGCACCCCACGGTCACGTTTGCAAAGTGGACAGTTTTCGTGGCTAAGCCCTGTGGTCGCAGGAAAAATCTCCTCCCCACCCAAAGTGACCACGAAGAGAGTAGGATGTAAATCAATGATAAACTTTATGCGGTCGGGTGAGTTGGAACTGATGGGTTTGTAAGGATTATCATTGTGAGGAACGACAAAGAAAGTATAAGTCCCACCTGATTTCTCCAAGACAGAAGCTTTTTTATTAATAATAATATTAAATATAGATCTCATTCATACAGTGTATGAGTAGGATCATCATTTAGACATTTGTCCACAAGGACCAATTTTTTAAAAAAACTGATTTTTCTTGTGTTAAACCCAGATAGTCTAGTAATGTCTGCTCTTTTCCAATATTTGATAAACACTTGATGTTTTAAGCTTAAATATTAGATGCTTGTATACTAATGTGTTGTTGTAGTAAAGTGAAATTTCCTTGATATATATTTATTAAAATGACCAAAATTCATTTTAATTTTACATCTCCAATGGCTACTGGGTCCTTTCCCCCATGTTCCCCTCCCTTACCCAAGGAGATGCCATTTAAGCAAACTACTCCCTGCTGAAGAGTTTATGCTGCAGCTGACTCTGCACCTCAAGCTGACTCCAGGACAGAGCTCAGCCTTCCGGGGGTCTCTGGAGCCTTTAGGACAGTGAAGGTGCATGAGAAGCAACAGACTTCTCTGCAGACTTGCACATATAGCCAAGGGAAATGCCTGCCCAAAGGCTGCCCAAACCACAGATAAGCTAACACTTTTGGGAGGGCTGAAAGTTTTTTGGCCCTACAGGGCACCTTGGTCTTCAAGAACAAGACTGCACACATAACCCATTGCAGAGTCTTCTGAGTTGAATTTGCACCAGCTGAAGTGATGGATCAGCAGAACTCTCTGTCTGCTCTGGCCTCTCTAACAGCTTCTTTAGTTCCAGGGACGGCTAGAAATTAACCTGTTACAGCTCTGCCCAGTCTTACGGAGTGTCATCAGGGTCTGTAAGGGATGAAATGTCATCTGATGAAGGTTGGCCTAAGGGTAAGTGCTCTCGTGCCTTCCTCTGGACCCTGCCTCACAAAATGCTGTAAGTAGATGTATTGGACTCAGGAGTCCACTGAGCCTGTTTGCTTCAGAAGAAACAGAGGTATTTCATGTTAGAAAAGGGAGTTGGAAATACACTTGTCCCATTACCAGAAATGCAATAGACCTTGATAGGATTTCCAACCTGGGCTAGGCTGAATGGATTTCATGGTTTAAATTTGGTTTGATTTATGGCATGTGAAGAGTATAAACCCCATAGGCCTTTCCCCCATTGCTCTCTCCAGTACTAAGGACATTTTGCTAGTATCACAAATTTTCAAGAAATACTTCTTTTCCAATATTATACTAATGCCTTTCATCTATATGTCCTGTGTGTAACTACAAAATGAATGGGCCTGAACCTGATCCTGGCCTACCTGCCTGGAAGAACTGGACAGAAGAGCTTCTCTCTAGAGAGGTTGTTCAGCTCTCTATCATAAGGTAGTTTGCTCCTAGAGTGTAAGACTATAAAGTACTATGCCTTTCAGCAGGCTGATAATGGTACTTCAATAATACATGGAAAACAGCAACAGACAAAGATGTTTCTGCTGTCGGGTCTATTTTACTGTCGCAAAGAACAGAAATGTCATTTTATCTTCAGGATTGCTTTCCACCAGGCAATATGCTTCCCTTGGAAATGCATAGTTCATTTGAGTTGAAAAAATTATGTACCTTTTTCAAAACACGTGGCATAATATCACTGTGCTTCATATATACTTAATACTTTTGGTAAAATTTTACTATTTTTACTGGATTAGCTAATCTGTTGAAACAACTTAACACAGTAATTTAAACATCCCCAGCACTCAAATAGCCTCAGCTGGCACCGATGTGCAATGCCAGCGCAGCAGCTGGGTCCACAGAAAAAACAAACGCAGGCTGAGCCGCAGAAATGAAGTGCTTCTTTCAGTCCTGAAGGTGTTATGCCCCAGAGCAAAATTGTGGTAAAGAGACATTTTTCACATTTCATCTTCCCGTGTGCCCTCCAGCCTCCTTTTACGCCTCTCATCTACTGACTGTCCTGTCGCTGAAGATCATGACACACTGCCGGGGCGGTATGCCGGGTGCCACCGCCCTTCGGGTCTGCCAGGGGAAGCAGGGAGCTGGTTTAGAGGTGCAGCATGATCTGAAGGGGAATTTGAACAAACTAACCAGGGTGCAGTGTGTCTGGGCTGCCTTGTGGCGTCTCAGGAGGCCCATGACCAGTTGCAACCCACCCAGCTAAACGGGCTTTCCAGCTGCCGGTAGCTCAGATTGACGCTATGGCAGTGTTGTGGTGATTAAAGGGCTATGGCTGAAGCAGAGACATGAAGGTGATTTCTAGCCTGCGTTAGACTCGTGCACTTTCATTGCCTTCTTGAGATAAAGGCTGTAGCCAGAGGTGTAGCAAAAGCAATTGCTGCTTACTCGTGCTAGGAACCTTGATAAAAGAAGTTTTATCACAAAAAGAGCCAGCCAGTCACATCAGAGAAAGGTTTAAACCGCTGTGGGGTAAAGGATTTCATCTGGTGTTTTAGTCAGTGAATGTAACTCTCACATGGAAGCCTCCCAAAGGGACTTAACCTTTTCCATTGCCTATCCCTTGCTTTGCAACCCCTAAGACAGAGGTTGCCCTCGCTTTCTGGAGGTAACCTTTTGGGCTTCTCAGTACTGGTATGAGTTTTTCTGCAGCTGCACGAAGCACCCCAGAGGCTTTTCCTGGCAGGGTGTGCAGAGCCTGCTAAAAGATCGCAGCCAGAGAAGCGCTGCAGAGGATCTTGCTGGAAATGTTAGGAGATGTGAATCTTCCACAAGGCATCCCATGTAACAGCCAAGCCGCGCAGTCACAACTACTTGGAATACACAGTAATTTCCTGTGTTTTTTCAATCTCACTTTAACTTCTCTGACAGATGGGGAAAGATGACTAAACCGAGGGAGTTTACAAAAGTTCGTCTTGTGGTGTTTGCAAACTGTCTCTGTGAGGTCCATTTTCTCTAATGTAAACACAGCCGTGGCAGGGTGCCGAGAGCCGTCGCAGCAGTTAATCCTGCTCAGTGTAAGGCTGCTAACGCGAGGAGTGCCCAGCCAGCTGGGCCTGCGCTGGGCAGCCGAACGCAAACCAGCCCTGGGGCTGAGGGAGCGAGTAGGATGAGGCCTTCACTCCTCCTGGCTCTCCAGGGAGCGCATGAAGCAAAGCAGCTGTGGCTGTGAAACCAGACTGAATTTACCATTCAGGGTCAGTGGCTTTCCGTGTCAGGGGGCCTGGGGTCAGGTGTGGAAAGTTAGATTAAACACCAGGGGAGTAACCATGTGAAAACGGTTGCCTTTGAGGCCGTGGTTGGCCTGTTGTTGCTCTCCCTAGTCTGTAAATCATAGCACGGGAGGAAGCGCGCCCAGAGGAAGGTAGAGTCTCAGTTCCTCAGCTTTGTAAAACTGGCGCAGGCTGCAAGGGATACAAAATTTTCTCTCCGGATCCAGCTGAAAGGCCAGGTAGGCAAGTCCCTTAATGTCTTTTAATCCCTGTGTTCAAGTTTTCCCTTTGAGGAGCACAGGGAGTGTGAGGAGAAGTCACAGGTGGGTGATCTGCATACACTCATTCAGAAGTGTTCACAATGAGCAAAAAAAAACCAAAGCCCTCAAAACAGGGAGATCCTGATTTTGAAGAATAATTTCTCTTCCATGGCTAGTA